ACCATTTACATGCACTAAAACCTATAACACACTGCAGGAAAGGGAAAACCCCCAAAAGCATAAAAGAGCTTCTTTGATTCGTTTAAAAAGATAACACTGTATGATTTAAAGTCAGTTGTAACACCTGAACTAACATGTTCAACGTTAGCAAGCATACACAGAGGATGAATGGTTGAAAGCTAAGTAACCGGTTTATATTTCAGACAGACAACTATAAGTAATACATTAACGGTTGAAGTAAATGTCAGTGTATTGCGTCACGTAATCTGTCACGGTATAACCAGAGAGACGATTGTGAAATCGATTGTTAAATCTTGAGGGGAGTAATATAGCAGGCATGACATTTTATGAGAAGAATATTTTCCCTCCATAATCCAGTTGAATAAGCGCACATATTCCAAAGTCATTGTGCTGGAGCGGCTCCCTGTGTTCGCTGCTAGATTTTGCAATTCACATTTTGACAACAATACAAATGCGCTCAAAGATGACGAGAGCGGTGACATTTACAGATGAGGCAAATTGTAAAATGGTGTTCCAATTTCCATTTTTCCCCTTTGGACAGTGGACCCACTGTTCCATGAATTGGCATTTTATGTATTGATTTATTCATTGTCATGCAGGGTAATGGGGATCTTGGATCTAAATTGTTGTGCTCTGTGCCAGACGTCTCCACAAAAGTGTACTTGTAAAGTAACAAATGATTGCTCGGTAGGGAGCCAGCTTTTGTGCAGCTTTAGTTCCGCCGACCTGGATACCAAAGTGTTTCCAGGTTTAATAAACTCATCCATCCATGTTGTGGGATCAAATGGACTATATTAAAGTCAGTTTTGACTAAATCGTCCTAAATCCTTGGGATGCTTGTAAGGAAATTGATCATCAGATTTATAAATGCAAGTTTCAGTCAACCAAGGCTCCAAGTTTGAGATGGCCAAGAATACTGTATCCTATAAATTTGATATACTGGAGACAGATAGAGATCAAATTCAAGAGAAACCTTTTTTTCAACTGTGAAGCTGATATTACTTCTACATGGAAGCAATCACAACAACTGGATAATAAGAAAGCAAGTTATTTTATATAAACAATTGAGAATAGAAGAAATTGCTCAATTAGGCTTTCTCCAAAATAGCTGCAGAACTTTGTAAGCATGACTACATCATCCAAAGACTTCAACAGTTGTGTTTACACCTGAAACTGCTATTGGAAGTGTGGACCAATATGACATTTCTGACAAACATTCACACTGGGCATTGTATCTATATGACTCAGTATGGTAAGCGTATGATGCTTTTGACACCCTTGAAATAGGCTGGTTGTTTACATTTCAGCATGACAGAGAGGCAAAGTAGTTTTAAAAATAACCGTGGACATTTTTGATTATTCAAACATGATTCTTTTTTTTTACGTTTGGCACTATGATGATCTAAACTAACAGGTTTTTTCTTACATGGTCCGTAGAAGGTTTAGCCTCTTGGGTTCAAAATGTGTTTTTGTATAAGTAAGACGCACACTGCAACACTGTGTCCCTTAATAAACACCATTAACATATTTGAATCATCACTCAACAACAAAAATTACACTCTGCTGAAAGATTACAAGAACTCTGAGAGCTGAGAAACAAAACCATTTTTTCAAGTTACACGTGTCATCTGATATCTTCAAATGGGATAATGCAACATTTATCTCACTTGCAGAAAACATCTGAATGTATTCACGCTACCTAAAGTGGCATTGGGGTTTTCTGAAGAGTCTAAAGCCAATTCTCCTGAAACCTGATTTATGTTAGTTTGGAGCTGGTACCCAGTTTGCTGTTTTTGGCATTGCTTCCTTCTGAGGAAAAGCTTTATTACGCTGCGAGAGAGTGGTCTGATTATGTATATCTAGCTCTGAAACAATGCTTGTATTGTAAATGAGTCAATCTGAGGCTGGTTCACTTGAAACTGATTCATTTGGAGGAAAAAGATAAATGGAGCAGATGTGCAGCTCTGTTAGCTGTTCAGGGCAAATCAATGGCTGATGGATAATGGTCAAATGCAATTGTATCTCAAATGGAAGTATAAACAGAAAGTTTATCACGTCCAGCAATGCGTAACTTAAAAATAATGTTGCAAAACTAGCTTCCCAAAAACAAATACAGCCATGGCTTGAAAACAGCGTGTTTCACAATGCTGCCAATACCATGGGATTCTTTCCTGTCAGGCAACATTAAAATTACTATTTTTATCAGTGTTTGAGGTTAGAAAACATTCTGCGGGATGTAAAAAATCTCATGCTGTTTTACTGTTTCTGAATAGGGATACATTTTGAGATGGAAAGCAATGTGCTGATGGTTTCATGCTGCTCTGACAGCTAACCTGGTGCCATTCACATCACAATCTCTTACCATCATAGAATGGATTCTATAACGATGTTTGATGGGTCATAGTATTAGAGTAGTAGTACCATTTTCAATCACATTTCATATCTCTTATGTATGACCTCCACTGGTGATGGGCAATATGATAATACATCATATTTTGGTGGTAGTGGTAGAAAAGTCAGCAAATCCAAAGTCAGTATAACTAGTTGTGGAGATTACACAATCCGGATGCTCGAAATAACAAAAATTCAAAACACATCACCACAGGGGCCATTTTGATTTGTCTGACCTAGAACTTTGTCCGACCAAACATCTGAATCAAGTTCACTTTGATTTATTTCACTCGCAGACCAGAAAGCTGTTGAAAAGGTTAAAAAGGATTGTTCATACTTGCTGACCCTCATCATGGAAATTCCTGCCGCATTTCTTTCTGAAACCACTGTTTCCATGACCGTACTTGGGATGCTGTGAGAAAAAATAGCAGGCCAAATCAAATGTATTCACAGCCTAGTTTGAGTTTTATTTGATTTAAGATCAGGGTCCGAAAAACAGCCGAAAGCTTCTTTTGATCGGCCCTGATAGACTATAAGTTATTCTCACTTGTCTTATAGACTGACACATTTTTGTTGGACTGCTTTCAGTTTGTTTATATGGGAATCTATCCTTACAGTCTATAATCAGAATATAAATATTATGATGAATATTGTGAATCACGATGATATCTGAGAATAATGGTAGATATTTGTGTGTGGACCGCAAACTCCCATATGGGGAGTGTTTGCTCAGCAGCTGTCAAAAACACACCACCAAAATCAGGAGTAACGTCACACAGAATCTTCCTCTAAAAGTGTCATTTCAAAGCAAGCTATGATTAAGTGACTGCCAAGTGCAGGAGACCTCTTATGTTTCTTAAAAAAAAACCTAAAAAACAAACTTATGGATGTGAAATCAAGTAAAGTGAGAGTTAAGCTCCACCTGTGGTTACATACTTCAAACTGAGCCCGGACCCTCGCTGGCAGCGCCTGACATTATCCTGGAAACCGTCCAATAGGAGCAGAGTTGGAGCCAAATAGTGAGATCAAGTTGAGGGCTAAGCATCATACAAAGAGTTGTGCAACACCATCCTGCTTTTTGCACCCGAGTAAGGCATCTGTAGTGTTCTAATGCAGCCAAAAACGTATTAAAATGCAGTGCTCTTTTTCTTTTACAATTTTCTTTTATTCCATTCCCTTACAGCAGCAGGGGTGTCAAACTCAAGGCCCGGGGGCCAAATTCGGCCTGCGACTTCATTTTATGTGGCCCCGCAAGAGCTTGCAAAGAATATAATACGTTTATTATACGGTTACATGCCACTTTACAGAAGCACGTTGCCCATATACTACATGTCCCACAATGCATCTCGTTTTGTGACATGTGCACTGAAGAGACTTGCAATTATTTGCCCTGGACTTCTGCTTTCAGACGTAGTTAATTACTAAGTTATTATCCTATCAGATATTAATCCAATTCAGAGGCAATAATGTAATATAATACATTATTTTATATATATATATATTATATATTTATATAGTTATAACCGGCCTTTTGAGTGCAACCTTTATGCGAATGTGGCCCAGGAAATTGAGTTTGACTACTTTTTTTAGCACAGTATAAAAGTCACATCCTAGGCAATTATTTGCATTCTCATCACACACTTTTTTTGCAGTACTGTAATTATCTCGAACATGACGACAATATACTTTTCTTTGGCGCTACCGGTGTCAAAAGAGTCTTCAAAGCGATTTGCATAATAACTCTTTACAGTATTGTTGCTGCCTGAAATGGGATCTGGATATTTCCTGTGATGCAGAACCACACAGGGGAGAATGTTCTCTCGTTATATTAACTTGAGTCGTTTTGATCCTGACAGCTCCTTTTATGTTCATTTGAAAGAGAAATGTTCCTTCCTACATATTATCCATTCCGTTGCAAGTTGGCAAGTCCTCCTGAAATGTACTTCTGTGTAATCACAAGAGCCACCCTTTTAATTTCCAGCCAGTCGAAAAGTCATGGCTTTACCCTTTTGGACTAAATTGTGAATGGACACGCTTTTTTCTTTGGGCGGAGAGCAAACAAAATGCCAATGCCTGAAAAATTGTTTCCAGCTGCAACCCTCAGGGAAAGACTGAATGCATTGCTGAGAGGGAGAGGTCGTTTTGAGCGCGATGCTCCCAATTTCCAAACTGAGAGCTACCTGCTTACAATGCGTCGCAGTCAAGTCGTCAACATGTAAAAGCTGACAAAGCGTGTAATTGTTTTACTCACCCAGCTGAGCTTTACCACATTGATAGTGTTGACAGGAAAATGGCAAATAGGAAAACACTGTCTAGATAAACAAATAAAAAAAGCAGGGCGTCCGAGGTGAAAGGAAACCCTGAAAAAAGGAAAAAGAAACGTACTTCTGTGTGCTTTCTTTTAACAGCTCGGGTTATGTAAAGCCTAAATACTTAATGAACCCTGAGATTTCCAGGTGTTTGTTGTCCAAACATATTTTTCAGTGACTTTTCCTCATCCGTCTGTGAGAATACTCGAGGAAACTTATACAAACAGATAATTAAATGACTGACTAAAATTTATTATATTCTTCTTTTTCTTGTTGCAGGACCTCCGGGAAAGCGAGGAAGAAGAGGCCGCAACGGAGAAAATGGTATGCACATTTGTGTGTGTGTGTGTGTGTGTGTGTGTGTGTGTGTGTGTGTGTGTGTGTGTGTGTGTGTGTGTGTGTGTGTCCAAGTCTCAATCTAGAAACATTGAAGGAATAATTCAGGAGGACATCAGCAAATCATACTGCAGTTACAATCATGTAAAAGTACACTGTATATCTCTGGAGGCCAAAATAGGTTATGGATGTGTAATTTGTGGCCTGGTGGTTTTCAGTGTTCACCCGGATTGTTTCAGCTTCACTAGATACACTAGATTTCCACAGTAAAGCTGGGAGAAGCGGTGGGGTTCAGGAATCGAAGTCTTTGAGCATCTTTGAGAAGGACAAGTGAGAACATGTTTTTTTGGCAAAGAGCTGCATCTAATCTCAGTCTACCTCATGGTGAAATTGATAATTGGCTCTATAGTGTAGCAGCAGTGCATCAGAGCCAACACTTTAGAACTACCTCTGTAGAAAGAAATTAGAGGGACAGGGCAAAGCAAGTTCTTCATGTTACGTGAGGTGGAGTAATAATGGAGCACTTTGGTTCCACAACCTAAGAAACTGAAAAACAAACATGTTTCTAAGGGGCTAAGAAACTTTGATTTGCCACCAAAGTGAGTTGCTTCTTTGTAAAGGTCCCATATTGTAGAAAAGTAAGATTACATGTATTTTTATATTATAAGCAGGTCTATGTGCTACTATACAAACACTGTGAAAGTATAAAAAACCCTTAATCCATTGAGAATTGCACTATACTGTATGCAGCCCATATTTAGAAGATGTTCTATTAAAGGGGCTGTCAGAACGAGCTTAAGGTTACATACTGTGTATACACCAAAATCAAAAATATAAACCTACTAATAAGCATTTGTTTTCCTTTTAAAGTCACAGAAATCCTGTATTTGAGTATCAATTACTTTGTCGTTTTATTTATTTGGCCAAAACTCTTCTTCTATAATCCTGTTGTGGCCATGTTTAGCCTTTTTATGATGTGGATCATCGTCGGTGGCTCGGTTCGTTCCTTTTCCCCATTAAATAATACTCAAATAATCCAATGTATGACTCGAAAGCTGAGGAAGATGGCAAAAAAAAGAGAATTAAAATGAAAAATAGACAACAGTTGAATGATGTGGTCGGCTGCATATCTGAAATACCGCCAGCCTTTGTTTATACAGTGCTTAACTTTCAAATAAACATCCAGCATGCCAGCATATTTCAAATGGCACCATTGGGCAGAGACCATTTTGTTACCCTCTCTCTGGTCAGCCAGAGTAACTGTAGAGAATGTGAATGGCTTCCTCTTAACAAATGTATTCCGAACAAGCAAGCAGTCATAATCCACTCGTAATGTCCGCACTGAAGGGGAGACAATGGAGAACAGTTGGGATGCCAGGTTTTACCTTTCTGAATAATAACCCAGATTACAGCACTAAACAAAGCTGGAGTGATGTTTACTAAAGTCAGCGAAGTAGCCTTTTATTTGCATGTCCACTGGTTACCTTCAAAAGCATTCAAGGCTTTTAAAGTCTTTGGTCCTTGTGTGAAGAATGGCATTTGAAATGTGGGCACTTTAAATGCTCCAAAAGTGATTCTGAATATTAGCATGTAATTATAGCTGTTAGTTCTGCTACATTTAATGTTTGGCTATGACAAACAATATTCTGTGTGAAACATTCAGGAGTGTTCACAATAACAATTATGATGCTGCTTTTAAAAGCAAAGAGGCAAATTCTGTTTACTCCCAAAAAAGTAGAGACATTATTTATTCGTCTGAAAATGCAGTCGTTGACAGGAACGGTGTGTTGCGTTCTGCACTGTAAGCCTTCTGCAGATCCAATTTCCCTCTTTTAACTTCTCAACAGCGGTGGATGTTGAAGGGAAGCATATTTAATTCATGTTTCGCTTTAACCAGAAGTTAGGAAGCCGCGGTGAGTTTCCCACACATTCATGGTGAGGTGTTCTGCAGTTTACTCATCTACAAAGGCTAAGGGAAGCTCTCACCTAGACTTGGCTGCGACTGACAGAAAGAACAAATATGAAAAAGACACCATGATGTTTACCTATGTATTAAATAATGAATGGGATACTTCATTAGGATGTCTTGGCTAACGTATGGAAAGGGAAAGTGTGGCGAGACAGTTTAGGGTGAAACGAGTGAAAGCAACCCTCTCAAACTCTTCAATGCTGGGAAGAGTTTCCTCCCATATTTCCTTATGTTCCCTGCCTTCATTAAAGGACGAATTGATGCTACAAATGTGCCGGTTGAGCTGACAGTGGTGCATCAGTGTCATCTGTGAAGAGAAGCATCTCTCATCTTGCAACAAACGCCTGACTTTCCTTCAAAAGAGTAACTTTAATAAGCCCAATTCAGCTTCTCTCTAAACTTGATTTAATGTTGAGCATAATTATACCTTTCACCATGATGTTAGCATACCCAATACCCAATACAGGGCCTGTCCAGTGAGTTGGAGTGATCATGTGACTCTTATCAAAGGCAGGAGGGTGACAAACTGTGGAGGAAATGAATAGAGGTGCCAGCGTGAGAACAACAGAAGGATGGATGATTTTATATTAAACCAGACTTTTTAATTTCACATGGATTATAGATCAACATTTAGTCTAACTAAAGCCATACAGTGTAAGAATATACCCATTTAAAGGTGGCTATTATGTGCTTTGCAGCATATTGCAATTTTTTTATCACATAATCTCTTTGATTTCCCATAATTGCTAGTTGAAAACTTTGTACCGAGCTATCCGACACAGTGGGACATTTTTAAAAGTGGAGCAGGTTTATTAAAAACTAAGTAGTCGACTGTTACTCAGCCATCCATAAAACAACGCTGCAGAAGTGCAGCCCAGCGAGCCTCAAACACACGGCTGCTTTAATGCTCCAGCTGCTGGAATGATTTGCACTTTTCCCTGGTCATGAAGAAGAACAGTTCAAGGACATAGGACTTGTAAAGCAAAAAAAAACGTTTTGTTCAGGGTTAAAGCAGCTGGGTACCTTTTTAATAAGAACCTAAAGACCTTAAATGATTTGCAGAGCCCTGAAGTGAGTTGCCACACAGTCCTTTGAGCAGCGGTAATTGGGGAAAAGACGAGTGTCACCTCACAAAAACGTGGGAGGACTTTTTAACGAGCGCACAACCCCTTGTCGTTGTGAAATTAGAGGAACTTGCAAAATGTAAAATGTGATCACCAGGCCTGGTGGCGATTGTTGGACGAACCGCATGGAAAATAAATAAGAAACTTTTGGCTGTTCAAAATCATTGGTAGAAATACAGGTTGGAATTTGGGAGTTAAAGTAGAATGTCTTGTATTCTGCAGTGAACACAATGTTGAAAAAGTCTTCACAAAAATGTTGCTTCCCAGGAAAATGTCTCTCCTGATGTCCTAGTTATTTGAATAGTTTATTTTAATATTTAGTGTGAAGTGTGGTTCAATGAGTGTTTGATTTCTAAAGTATTTCTTTCTTTTCTCTTTCAGGACCTCCTGTAAGTATACCTGCTTCTCTTCTTCTCCAACTTGTGATAGCAGTGTAAAGGTAACAACACACCACCAGGAAACATGACTGCATAATGCTGTTAGATTCAAGTAATCGCCCTTACTAGTTTTCTTCCAAAGTTAGATAAAACACTTTTATGCCTGTATGTTAAATATATAGCCAGCAGCAGGCTCACTAGCATAAAGACAGGAAACAAAGGTAATCAAACCGGGCTGCCAGAACCTCTAAAGTCGCGTCGTAACAATGACTAACATGGTTAGGTTTTCAAAGATTTTTCACTCACTCCACTTCGTACTGCAGCGCCTGACTTCGTCTTTTGCTCCTGAGAGATTATACTGCCCCAAATGGGCATTTTATCTTGTACGTGTATTATTTGTCAAAAACGATTTAAATATCAACCTTCTGAAGCTACTTCCATGCTTCTTCTAATCCTTATGAGCCCATTTAATGAGCTGTTTTCCTCGTTTCTAGTCGTAACGCTAAGAAAAATGACTTTGTTTGACAAGAAGGAGAAAAAGCATATTCCACAAAATCGTGAACTATTCCTTTTTTTTTTTGAAAGTATCAAACTGTGGTTTTACAATAGATGTGAAAGACATCTGATTATGACAAATTAGCTCCCTGTTGTACCACACATTCTGACTCTATTATTAAAATAATCTCTTCATCCCTGCCTCCACCTAATAGGGACCCTTGTCCCTGTCATTTGGACAGTCTGGCTTCTAATATCCTCGGTACCAGCCTCCGGATTATCTCACCTCATCACATTGCCGGTCATCACAGATTCACTCCCTTCAACAGATGGAAAACTTCGGTTTCCTCCAAAGATGAAGACAAACCCATACGTCCATAAGCACCGGGGATTGTGACAGTTCTTTGAATAACCGGGTCAAGCGGGCACTGTATGTGTGTGCGCTGTTAACATTATTTATAGTCCAGAGGCAAGTATGATTGAATAGGTATAATAGCGTGTGCCGACTGAGCCGTAAAGTTGTAAGTTAATCCTCGGAGCCCCCCTCAGACACTCGCTCCTGCAGTTCTGGGACGTAAGTAAGTGCAGGTGGTCTCACTTCTCAGGCCGTACATCTGACAAATAAAATCATTCTGCGAGATGTCTCAAGAGCCGACCGAAGCCGAGGAATGCCGTCTCTGAAGTGTTGGACTTACCAGTAAATATAAAAGATGAATGTTTCTTTTGGTGCTTTTGGGATTGATCCTTTGGGTGGGACGTAGTAAATCTGTGCACAAACAGCAAGAACCTGACAATGTTCCAGTTGTGGCCAGCAAATCACTCTATGATGAAGTCATTAGAGGAAGCAGAAGGTGGTGTACATGTTTGCTCCAGGTCCTGGTTTTACCGTTGGAAAAGCAACCAGGTTTAAGCAACACAAAAAAGGCTATAATTTACAGTACAGGCCATAAGAACTGACTACATTTCTAAAAACAGAAACGATCTGACAATGACTCACACGACGGTCACCAAATCGATTTGCGAAATAAAACATCCTGTGCCAGCTTCTTAAAAAAGACAGTTAAAAGTGATCTCATGTGGTTTTTTATTAGGTATGCCCACCCGGGGGATGGCAGGGGACACGCCGCTATGAATATTCAACAGTTCCCTCTGTAACTCTGGGAACACTGCGTAAATGGTAGACAGCCGTCTGCACCAAACAAACCGAACGCTGCTGAAGCTATTACGAAACTTTTTGACTTAATCATTCCTCAGAGGCCGATTAATGGACAGGGAGAGAAAGAAACCAAAATAAAATAAAAAGATCTCCTCAATCAAAACTCATCGGGAAATACTCAAGTTTGAGAGCCGCAATGAGTCAGGAAAAGTGATTTTCATTGTTTTTTTAGACTTTTTTGTGTAGTTTGTATTGGATCATGCGGTGAATGGCCAAATGATGTTTAGTTAGATATCTAGACATCCATTTATATTGGAAAGCAGGTGATTTTTTTACTTTGTCATCCTTTACAAGAAGAGCTTTTTGCCTTTTCTTGTCAATAAAACAGGATACATGTTGAGTTGCTGTAGAGAAAGTTAGTAAAGTCTGTGAAATAACAGCTCAGGCAAACATCTTCTGCTCTTTTAAGGGAGACCAGTGTCAACACATCAACCCCAAGCACCCACCACTGTGTGCGAACACCATTTAGCACCAATCAAGCATAAAACACCACCCCTGAGGCTGCACTGCAGTACTAACACCACCCGCCGACTGTATGCCTTACTAAATTAGAATTATACAGACAGAGAAAGAAACTATTATGCTTTGAAATCTGGTTGAAAGGAAGTGGAATTATTTGGAACAATGCTGTAAATATCAAACCCACTTCTGCGTACCACACAAACCAGGGTTGTTACAGTGCAGCACATAAGCGCTAAGAGTTCACTCATGTTAGCAATGAGCTTAGGGAAAGTTGTTGAGACCGTATCTCTATTTGACAAGTAGTTTCCTCCTCCCTGCTTCACAGGCTGAGGCTCCAGAGATGCAGGTTGAGGATGATCTGTCACAACGTATGCATTATGCAGCTGTGTAGCAGGGATTAGAGGCAAAGTGGGGATGAAGCAGAGGAGCTCAGATACCCTCAACCCCTTCATCCTTCATCTGGTATGCACCGCAGCGCCACACCTGTTAATAAAACATATATTCCAGCTGGACTTTGATCACTTCTGCCCTACGGAAGTGGAGAAGACGCCAGTTTATCTAAAGTGAGATTCCTGAAGAAGGCCCCGGTGACCTTTTTAAATGTAAAGATATTGCAATGTTGTGAATTTGAAATTGGAAATAGTTCTTAAGGGTTTCGCATGAGAGCAGAGGATCACCGTGAGCTGCGAGTGGATCTATCTGACGTGACAGGGTTTTTTTAAAGCTCAAAAGGGCAGTGGTGCACGAAGCAAAGCCTACTGGCTCTGATATTGACGACATTAAGAGTTTGACCTTTCCAGAGGTCAGTCCTCTGCTCACGCTGTGCCCATCAGCGGCACTTCTCTGTCAGCGGATGACGAGAGGCAGCGCTCAGGCCGAGGGAGCTTTACTCACACTGATGTGAAGCAGTCAATAAAGCACACAGGGAACTGTGGAAGGAGAATTAGCACAGTATGAACGTGATGCTCGCAGTGGAGGAAAAAAAGCACGACAGCTTTTCAATTGAGAGGAATTTTCCTGCAACTCAGAACATCAAATGAGAAATGTCGAGCTGCCACTGTGCGGTTCTAATCGAATCAACAGAAGAAGTGAAATAAATCTGTTACCAACTGGGACCTTGTACCTTTTTCAACTTTTCATTTTCAAGGACAAAAAAAAGCGTGGGTCAGACATTTGGTTATGTATTGTGCAGAAAAGAAATTGGACTCGATTTTTGGCTTTTTATGCATACAACTTGGTTAAAGCCATTTAAATATTTCCCCTCCTCAGGAATGAAGAGGCCTTTCCCGACTGAGAATGTGAATTAATATCTCCTACTAGTTACATTATCATCCACCTTTAACCAGTCACACTTTCCTCAGCGTCCCCTCTTCCCACAGCGTCCCCTCTTCCCACAAGATTATCCAACACATAGCGAGCACACACACAATCTCACAAACACATTCACACACATTAAAGTCATTTTATGCCGGCTAATTGTCATACACTGTGGATATGGGAACCAGATGCCATTCCCAAGTCAGTTTTCCAGTGTGGTTTTCTATCCCTGCCTAACCTCTGCGTCTAGATTCCCCCGACGTGCACCAACCACTTGTGGTCGTCCGCTCCTGCCCACTCCGCTCTGATTACTCACATCCCTGTCCCCCATTAGTTTCCCACCTAAAAAAAAAAGAATCCCCCCCGAGGCCCAGTGTAGTATGATTGAGGGTTCCCATGCAGAACTAACATATGGAGGTGTGTGTATAGATATGTGTTTTACTCTCTCTAAGGTTTGGGGATGTCTGAGAGTAGATGTAACTTCCAATGAAACCCACAGCAGGCTCATATTGCTAAATGTGTATTTTGCGTTTGTCCAAACACCTTTTCCACTCTTGGCTAGATTGATTATATTTGTGTATCTAGATAGGGCTTTTAAACTTTTGGGAGAGAGGTTAGCAGAAATGTTTACAGGGAATGAATGCTGGATTGTTTTTTGATGTGTATGGATATTTTGTGCTTGATTTGTGGGATTTTGAGAGAGTAAACACCTGTACTTGTTGACGAGGCCTTCGTTTCAATATGAAGCATCACTCAACAGTGTGGAGTGTGTAGTAAGGGTTTAGTCCGTTATACCCTTTATTCTGGCCCTCCTCTCTTTTGGTAAGCAGCACTCCTCACATGCCCCCCCTTAACTTACTCCTTCCCTGTCAACACTCGGTGCCTGAAGGATTGCTTTGGTTAACTTCCTGTGTACACACATGTTTATTAATATTGTGAGGCTGTGTGAGAAAACCGTGAGCCCTGTAAAGAAGCGGTTGTAAAAGCGGTAGTTGTTGGCCCCGCTCTCTGAGATGCCAGTGCTCCGGGGTGAGATGATTGGATCCATGTGGTACGAAACCCGGTTGCTGCCAGAACCGTTGGCCCCGGTTCTACAGTGAGGATATGAGCTCCGTTTGATGGATGATTTTCTGGACCTTAGATTTATAAAACAGGTCACTGTGATGAAACATAATACAGCCAAGCCCAGACAGAGGTTACATGCAGATCCTCTGTTCCTGACTTTTTGCTTCTAGTTGGATTAAGCCGATTGCTTCATTGTAGCAGCAGCCCGCAACCAAACCCACCAGAATTTCTTCGCTCATGTCAACAGCGGCTAAACCTTCGGACGGCGGCCAGCTCCTCGTCTCGAGCTGCTCTGTCGGGCGAGTTCTGTCAAGCTCTCATCCATCATGTTTTATTAAATTATATAAGAGCAGTGATGTGAAAATGGATATTCAGTGTCTTCTATGTAAGACAATGTATATTTAGGCTGACCAATGTGTTACCTTTTGAACTCCGCCTGGTTATCCTTTTCGTAAAT